GTCGGGGGAGGAGGAGGAGGAGGAGGAGGATTTGGAGGAGGAGGAGGAGGAGGAGGAGGAGGAGGAGGGGGAGGCCTCGTCCGCGAAGGTCCCCGACCTGCGCACGGACGTCCCGGTCCCTGCTGCGCCTCCCCCCTCCCCAGCCACCGGCATTGTATAATCCCTTCTCCCCCGTTGAACACCGTCAGCCACCGTCGTGTCGCCGGCGGCGCCGGCGCCGGCGGTGGCGGGGGGCGCGCCAGCTGCAGATGACGCGGCATCATCGTCCGTCGCCGGGCTCTCGCCTTGTCCTCGCTCGCGCCGCGCTCTACCCCCCCCCCCCTCCTCATCCCCACCGTCGCCCCTTCCCTCCCCGAGACTCGAAGGCCCCCTCGCCGGTGGCGTGGGGGATCGTCCCGCCCCTCCGGACTCCGTAACGCCAACACTGAAGGCAGGGGACGAAAACTCTCCATCCCCGGGGTAGGGGGTTTCGTGAGCAGCGGCGGCGGCGGCGGCGGCGGCGGGGCCCTTGGTCCTCTTGCCTTCCAAGAGCAGGATGTCCCGCAGGATTGTCCGCAGCGCGCGCTCCAGGGTCAAGGCGCAGCTTACCTGAGGTAGTGGCGGTGGCGTCGGCCGTGACGGCGCCAGCAAAAATTAGTGTGGTGTTGACGGGAGCGGAGGGAGTTAAAAGTAATGCACTGAGACGGGGTCGTGCTTCCTGCAGCAGCGGACGCTCTATACCAACCCAACCAACGCACAAGAACATAATGTACCACTACTACTTTTCCAAAAATGTTATTACCAAGACTGCGACATTGCTGCCGATTCAAGGCCGCGTGAATGGTGTTGGGCTGGCGTGTACTGACCTGCATGCAAGGGAAATACCAAGAGTACATACGACATCGCTTTCAATTCGAGGCCGCCGTAAAGTGACCCGGCTCCCCACTTAAGCATGCGCCCCTAAATAGGAGTCCAGCCCACGCGCGCATGCCCTGCGGGCGGGGGCAGCAGAGAACCCCTCGAAATATTCTAGCTTCGCGCGTGGTGATATGATACCCTGGGCCCGTGAAAAACCCGGCGTGCTCCGTCCCGGCTTTGTAGGGATGCGAGGTCGGTGGTCTAACGACTACGGCATGCACGGCAATGAGCACGCCCCCACCCCGTCTCGCCTGTCGTATGGCGAGGTCCAAGTCCGTGGGGTCTTCCCCCCCGCCCCCGCCCCCGCCCCCCATCAGCAGGGACGCCGCGTCGCGAGCGAGGCCGCTCGGGTTTCCAGTCTCCCGTGCGCTCGGCGACACCAAGGCCGTGCCGTGGCCGATGCGTCCCCGCCGCAGGCCACCGCTGCCGCGACCGTTGGTCCCGCTGCTGCCGCCAGCTGCCGCAGTGGTGGTGGTATTCGTGGTGTCACCGAGGGAGCTACTAGTGTGTTGTCGCGAGCTGCTCCGGCTGCTGCTGCTGGCACCGGTTCGGCCGGAGCTGGGTCTCCTGAGGGTGGGGGGGGAGGGCAGGGTGTGTGTGCTCATAGTCGTGCATGCCGTAGTCGCTAGAACATTGACCTCGCATCCCTACAAAGCCGGGACGGGGCACGCCGGGTTCTCACCGGACCAGGCTCTCACATCCCCAAGCGCGGAGCGCCGTGAGGTATTTGGCGGGTCGCATGGAGAGTTCGCTGCATCCTGCTAAGGGTGTGCGGCTTCCTGTGCTTACTACGGACGCCAGCTGCGAAAGACGAAAAAAACATTTTCTGGTGCTTTGACTTCCACACACAGTTAGTAGAACTGTGTAACTGCCTCGAGGGTGCTTGACCAATTGAACACAACGTGGTGCGATCATCCCCTCTGCGCGGAATGAGGTTTCTCGACCCCGCACAACATAATCTGCTCGACCAAAATTGTAGTTACAGCACCGCAAAAAAACGCCAAAGAAAAAAAAAAGCGTGAACCTGGTTGTCAAGCTCACGAAGCGATCGGCTTGTTTTAGGGTGCTTCTTATCGACCAATAAAACCCGAAAAAAAAAACGAAACCGTGTTTTCTTGAACACATATGGAGGCGTTTTTCCCCGAAATCGTGAAAAGAAGGAGCCGGGTTTTTTGGGGGCTTGCTACTTAAACGAATTCGTGTTTTTGACAGAAGCATCGGACAAGCGCACCGCGGGCGCTGTAACATCACTGAGAACGCTAGAAAGACCTGCCAGACTCACGTCCAGGTCTGTTGTGGAGATGGACAAGCGGCAGAAGCGGCGTTCAGTCCGTTCTTGGTCCAAAACTAGACATTGCGTGGTGCTCTCGTCTTCAACTGCTGCTGTTCGTGCCGGGGAACTTTTTTCGATAACACATAGCAAACACGGAAACAGTAGAACGAGTACAGCAGCACCACCAAGACCTCCAAAGCGCTGATTCCTTCGGTTCGGCTGTCTATATGATACCATCTCCCGGCGCCGTGCTGCTTCGTGGGTATTGAGTGCTTGGGTGCTGCTCAATAAGGTGTGTGAGAGACGTGTGCCACCTCACCAAAATGCCGTTGGAAAAATTGCGGCGAGATGATCTGTTTATGGTCGGACACATCAACATCAATCCACGGCGTCACGCAGCAGTAGAGCAACAGGGCCTCCAACACGCTAATTCTTTCGGATTGGCCATCTGTATGATGCTGGCGTCAGCGCGGCTGCCGCCCTATGATTGTTGAGCTCGTCTACCTTTGGGTAGGTGGTGGTCAAAGATGGGAGTCGCAACCGTGAAAAATGAGCTGGCTAACTGAAGAAATCGCAAGCAACACCCAGGTTGCGACACTCTGCCGTGCGCCTGTTGTTGCTGAAAACTGAAAACAGCAGGCCGGGTGGACGGGATCTTTCTAAGTATGTTGTCCTCTGTGCCGGGTGCTGCTTATTGCGCTTTTATCGCTGCTCTATGGTGAGCAATACCATGTCTACCTGTTGTGTGCCGAGCAAAGCGTGTATTCAGGGAAGGAAACGTACTTTTTGCGATGACATCACGAAAAGAACAGGCAAAAACAAGTCGGGTTTTCTTTTAACCTTTCCGTTTAAAAAAGAACGATTTCGACGTTGCGTTAATAATAACCCTTACAATGTTGTTGCCAAGCGACGAAAACCCAACCCCGATGGAAAACAGCACGGGGAGGGGCAAAAAATGAAGGCGATGGAAAAACAAACGGTTCCGGAGGGCATCGAACCCTCGACCTCGCGATTAACAGTCGCACGCTCTGCCACTGAGCTACGGAACCCCCGTACGACGATGAGGACGGTCAGGGGCGTGGCGTGTTTCAATGACTGATGGCCTTGCCAAGCAGAAAGCAGCGGTGGTGGGAGAAGTAGCAAAGAGCCAGACAGGGGAGGAGCATGCGCTGCAGTATTCGCAAAAGAGCCGCAACGTCAACTATGACAACGCCTCGACGGTTATAGTCTCGAGTCGTGGACAAGCACGGACAGAGTGTCTCCTAGAAAAGATAGACTGACACTTGCGAAATCGTTCTTCCACTATGACGTTCTCCGACAAACCTCGCGAGTGAATAGCCTCACAAGAAACGCAGCGGCACTCTGCCCTGCTGTGCGTCTAGTACTGTACTCCGGAAGGGCCCACCTGTTCACGCCGACGTTAACCTCACGGTCCCCCCCACCAACCCCGGCCGCCACTCCGTGGCCATCTTCGTCACGAGCGCCGCTCGCACCCGCCGTGGGCGACGCCGAAGAGAGGGGGGGCTCCGCAGCATCATCAGCGGCTCGAGACAAAGGGCTGCCGTTCTCCCCATGCGCGTTGTTGTTGTTGTCTGCGGCGGCAACACTCGCGTTGTCATCTTCGTCGCCGTCGCCGCCGTCGCCATCCTCGTCTCCCGAGGAGGCGTTTTTCTTGACCGTCGGGAGATACTCCAGCACGTCGGGGTTGCACGGCCGGTACAGCACCACGTAGCAGCAGGTCCTGGCGGCAGGCGCACGGCGGGGGCGGACGGGTGCGTGTGGGAGGGGGAGGGGCGTACTCAATGTTTCGCACGCCTTAGCTGTTAGATCACGCTTCCTCGAGAGGACGGAGCATTGTTCCCACAGGACCGATAGCCGACGGCCAATCGGGGGGAAAGGGGGCCGCGCAGAGTACGAGATTGGTCGACAAGGGGGGGGGGGGAGTCTGCTCCCGCAAAGCAAAGGACGAGCCGTGCCTCTCTGTTATGCTGGCAACGGCATCCATTTCTTGGTGCCGATCACTGCTGCTGCTGTGGCTGGGCCGACACTCGCCTGTAGGCGCAACCGCAGCAGTAGAGCGAACGCAGCACCGGACGGCCCCTGCTCTGCCCCACGGTGAGCCAGATGTTGGCGCTCTGCCTTCGTGCCGCCGCCGCAGCCGCCGCGCTGCCGGCACCATCGTCGTGGTAGGAGTCATAACCCGCACCGCTCCCGCTGGTCCCGCCGCCGCCCCCTCCTTGTTGAGGACGGGAGTGCCTGATAAAAATACGAAGAACGACGCAATATGAGCAGTCAATACGTCGTCTGAGGGAAAAAATGCAGGAACGCGTTTACAAAACTTGTGTCCGGGGACCGGAAGACGTGCGCGGCAGGCTGCACGGCAGACGGCGGTACGTTCGAAGAAGAGGAATTTATTTATTGAGCACCGAACCACCGAACAACAACAACCCCAACGAGCAGCTCATCTTGTAGGTCGACCATGCCTAGATAGACACACCTATGTACTCCTTCCTCTGTAGTCTCACCCATTGGGTAGCCACTCTCCCAGGACGGTAGGCGGGGCCCCGTCGCTGGAGCAGAAGTCGTTCAGGGTACGGCAGCGGGGGTCCGCAGACAGTAATTCCAGAGCGCGCTCGGTCTTCCAAAATATATGGTACACAAGAGAAACGGGTCGAAGGCGGCGGCGGTGGTGGTGGTGGTGGTGGTGGTGGTGGTGGAGAGGAGGGGGGGGGTGCAAACAGGATCAGCTTGCAGGGGAAAGGGGATGCGATAAAAAGGCAACAGCAAACCTACAACAACAACGGCGAGAGCTAAAAAGAAGAGCGAAGACAGCAAATGGTAACAAGAACGGTTTTATTGTGGCATCTCGGGGGAAAGAACCGCAATAGACAAAACAAATCATGTGCACCCACAGGTGGGGCGTTCCAGGTGGGGCGTTCCAGGGCACGTTAAGGCCTCGACATCACTGGTGACGGGCTTCTGTTTCCCGGGAGAAGGGCTGCTGCCTCCCTTCCGCCGTGGCGGTTTTCTCAGCTTCCACACGCCGGGAACTTTCAATCGGGCGCATGCCATGAGAAGGGTGTGCTCTCGCTCCGGTGCCAACAACCCACCTCGCTCGGAGCGATCGGCTGTCTTACGCAAGAAACTGAAAGCTTTCTTGCCTTGCTGGGCCGGTTCGCGATTTCTCGAGACGTAAGGCCTCAGACTACATGCAACTGCTGTCTTTGGTTGAGCCTGTCACCCACACGGGAGATCGCTGCTCGGGGAACGAACCGTAGCAATACATGTTGGTCATCATACGACACAATGAATACATTGTTTGTCTGTAAATCTGTCCCGGACTCCTACATCTGCGGGAGAGGTGAATCTGTTGTGCTTTTGTAGGAAACACAAAAGAAGAGGGGACCGGCGCCAAAGGTGCAGGCGGAATGGTGCACCAACATAGCGCGACGACACCCAGAACATTCCAGCAAGCCGTAATCCCGCTATGGTAATGAAAAGGGTGTTCTTCTTCCTGGGGAGAGGCGTCGTGCCCAGTGCTGTGCTGTACCTGGTCGAGGGTAGGGAGACCCGTCTCCGCGTCTACGGTCACTAGAGTCACCACCAGGCACTTGAACGCTGCGGTGTTCCAGCCGATCAGGTACCCCCTCCTGCCGCCTTCCGTCGTTGGCGGGCGTGCCGGCGGCGACGGCGAGAAACAGCATGCGTGCGGCGCGCAGACACACGACAGTTCGGGACACGGCAAACGACTCGTGAGGACAAAATAACAAACGAACAAACAAAAAGCTGTCTACCTTGCCGCGTACATACCTTTTTCTTTACCCCACTTCCATGTGCGACTGGCGTCTTTTCATTGATCACCCGGTCATCGCATACCCTCAAGACCGGACGGAGCTCAAAGCTAGACTGCTCCAGCACTCGTTCCGACATGGGTAGTTGCGGAAATATCTCATCGAGTGCTCTCTTCCACGTGTCGGTCGCGGTCTTGGCACTCTCTCAGCTATCGAACACTCGAGCATTGAAAGGCGGTCTACCAGGAAGTGTGGCATGATCCGCAACAGGAGGAAGCTACAGGAAGTAGTAGACGCAACACCTAAAGGAGTACAAGACAGATGTTAGCCCAAGGAGATGAAGGGACGGGTCGCTTCATGTTCTTGATCCACGATTGTGAACAACCGGAATGCTGCCTTGCTGGGGAGGAAAGAGGATGTCTGAAATAGACCCAGCCCAACCTCTCAGGGGGTACGCAGAATCCATAGTCAAGATGTGGGGTCAGCCGCTACGAGCTATAACTCTCGGCCATCCCACGCCCCGATCTCGATAAGGGTACACCCTAAATACTTCATCTGGCAGCACCATCCCTTAGCACTAGCCTACCCTGAAGATCATAGGTGCAGATTCCACACTTCCAAATCCTGGAAAGCTGATCTAAGAACCAATCGATTATACGGTATGACGCTTCCGTAAACCCGCTAACCAGGGAGAAAAGGGCAGGTGTAGCTGCAGGAACAACTTCGATAGCTGTACGTCCCAATACGGAAGACTTGGCCGCTGCCGCACCGTGGAATACCTTACAAGTGTTCTCCCCAACCGGTAACCCCGTATTACCTCAGTACGCCCTTAACAGTAGGGAGGCCTGCCTGTGCCGCGGGTTGCACAAGGTATCACACCCCCTGGACCGATTTTCAAAGCTCGATTACTAGGGAAGAAAAGCGGTGACGTTGCCGAAAATTGCAGCGTTGGAACCGTCTCGTCGAGAGCTTCGCACGAATGCATAATTTGATATCGGCACCCCCTTCGTCGTGGAGAAACCGAGCTCTGAAAATCGGTCCAGGGGGTATGGGATCTTACGCAACCTTACAGCAGTAACGTCGAGCAACGGAGGTGACACGCAATACACCACCCCCCGTAGGCGCTGCACCATAATGTACTGCTGTGGCTTCGCTGCTGTCAAACAGGAACGCCATGGGGTGGATGCAAGAACGGGAGATATTACAGAACCTAATGGTACGCGAGATTGTGTGCACTGGGATAACTGCTGTACTGCTACTGCTGTGTTGAACCCATAGAGCACAGCAAAGAGAAAACACCGCTCGCTCACCGAGATTGAGGCAATGTTCTGGCCAAAAGATCTGTGAGATGAAGCGACTGCTGCTGCTGGAACCAGCAAACCCAATACCGCCCCCGCTTCCACCATCGCTGCGAGCTTCCATGTTGCGTGGCAATAGGCGTGGTGCGGGAGTGTCGTCAAAGACAAACGGAGAGCGGAGAGCGGCAGCAGCACAGCACCCACAGGAGGGTAAATTTGCCCGCCTTTCTCTTGCTCCCTGTTTCCCAGACCGAAACGCCTTCTCGGCTTCGCGATGAGATTTTCCTACACTGCCAACATGCAGGGTGGTGCTCTAGAAAAAATGGAAGTGTGAAGTTTGTTGATAACATGGGGCACATTGGTGTAGGTAGATCGAGTATCGGAGGTGGCAAGCAGTACTATGCATACTAATTGCGCAGCAGAGAGATACAGAGAGATACCTACGCCTGTTGGTGTTCACGGCCGAATTCAAGCCGAAAAGAAAATAAACAAAAAACTGAAAGGTACAATATATCAAGGGCGCCAAGGGCGCACAAAAAAAAAAATCCGACGACACCTAATATTATTATTTTCTCTTCTCCTTACGGTTTCCATTTTTCTCTTTTTTCTTTTTTTTCTTTCTTTTTTTTCTCTCTTTTTCTGTGCCAGATGTCCTTGTCTCTGCTTGCGTTGTGAAGTACCAAGATTGAACCAAGGGGGTGTACCTCTTTCTCTCCGGCCCATGATAGATAGTGACTGCCAGTCTCAGTTGATACCTCGCATAGCGCGAAGAGGGAGTGAGTGGAGGATTCCAGAATATCTGTCGTTGATTTCTATTGACTTACTTGCGGACCCCTCGGGGCCAGTTTATTTGAGTGTACCTTTTTGAGGGTAAGTTAACCTGTGACCACGGGAATCGACCGCGTCGAGTGTTGGATCAGTACGGACATACATACGAAGGTACTGGGTAGAGAGAGATCGGAACGGTTTTTAATAATATGGTGTTTGCGAAGATCGAATTTCTATTTGGTCTTGGTCTTTCGTATTTTTTCAACCATTTATGCGATGTGACGTCACGAAATCGTACCGTTTACCCTTTTTTTCCTGCTCACGTTCCAACATGCTGCACGGAGGAACCTCACGCTTGCTTCGCCCGTCCGTGCAGAGCTCTCTGCCGAACACAGCATGTAGTAGGTATGTACACGCTACGATGAGCCACCGAGCCACCGGACAGACAGAGATGATGCTATTTGTGCGCTCTATTTTTGCTAGCTGTAGTAGGCTCGTCTGTTGCGCCAAAAGAATGAGGTGTTTGGGGTGCTCGGCAGAGTATACTGTCTACGGGGCCTCCGGGGGGTACGCGGATGAAATGTGTTGATGGGCATGCTGCATGGCGATGGTGTTGCCTACCGCATGTCTCTCACTCTCTAATCAACAAAGGTCTTGAGTCAACCTTCTTTCTCTTTCGGCCTCTGACGGGCTACCGCACCCAAACACAATATATTGTATGGCCTGGTGTTGGTAGTGGGTATTGGCGTCTGAGCTGTATGTGCCGGGCCAATGGGGCGGCGAATACGATATATATAGCTAAGCTGGGACGTGGCCAACGGGGACGGGACAGCACGGCAGCGGGTAGTGTATAGCTGGGACGGTGGCCATCGGGGACCGGGACAGCAGGGGGTGTATTGCTGGGACAGCGCTTCAGGGCTGGGACAGCAGGGTACGGGATATTTTTCAAGTGTAGACTATGGCGGAGAGAAGCGGCGGAAAAGGAAGAGATTCGCAAAGGGAGGAGACTACAGTTGTGCGCATCAAGATGGAGGAGAGGTCGCGCAACGCAGCAGAGAAGCTACGAGCTGCCGAGTCGGAGGTGGAGAGGCTGGTGAAGGTGCTCAGAGCTGCGGAGGCTGCCGAGTATGAGAAGGAGAGACTTAGGCGGCAGCAACAACAACAACAGCAGCAGCAGCGATGGAGTGCTCAATGGCAGCAGCAGCCATCGCAGGTACAGCAGTGTTCTCGTGGTGGTTTTGTCCTTCAGCAGAACCAACACTGCGTTTTCACTCAGAGCCACCAGGCGCGGCAGCACCAGCAGTTGGCGCGGCAGCAACAGCAGCTGCCGCCAACCGGAGTTGGTGGGATATATGACTGCGTGGAGCAACGCCGTGTATTTCCAGCAGGAATCACCCCCTCCGCCTGGTACGGTATACCATTGCACTCGGTGCGGCAGGAACGGCCACCACGGCGAAGAATGCGCCGCACCCCGCAGGTTCGAGGGTACGTGCGGCGCCTGTGGTCAGTACGGCCATATGTGGTGGAACTGCGCCGTGCATCTTCATGGCAGCAGCGGCGAGGATGACGGCCGTATCGTCCGCGGTGGCTGCTGGATGGGCGTCAATGGCGGCGGCAGCTGCATGGACATCGGTGGAAGCTCGGTCGTACAGCAGCAGGTAGTGGTAGAGAGCGAGTACCGCTCTGATTTTGTCGACCTGGTTCACGTTGGCGGCGAGGTGATGGCAGAGAGCGAGTACCGCTCTGATTTCGTCGACGTGGTTCACGCTGGCGGCGCTGTGGACGGTGATGATGACGGATGGTTTGGATGGAATGATTCTGTGGACATGGTTCACGCTGGTGGCAGTGTCTGCGATGATGTTTTCCCCGCTGCTGGGGCGGGAGAAATGGCCGGAGCGCCTGCGTTGGCGACTGGAGTGGCGGCATCGGCAGCAGCTCCAGCGGCGACGGCGGCGATCTCCGGCGGCAGTGTTTTCCCCGCGGCGGCGGCGGGGGGAACGGCCGGGGTCCCCGCGGTGGCGGCAGGAGCGGCGGCATCGGCAGCAGCTCCGGCGGCGATGGCGGCGACCTCTGGCGGCAGTGTTCCCCCCGCGACGGCGGCAGGGGGGATGACCCGAGTCCCCGCGGTGGCAGCACGAGCGGCGGCATCGGCGGCAGCTCCAGCGGCGACGGCGGCGACCTCTGGAGGCAGTGTTTTCCCCGCGGCGGCGGCAGGGGGGGTGGCCGGAGTCCCCGCGGTGGCGGCAGGAGCGGCGGCATCGGCAGCAGCTCCAGCGGCAACGGCGGTGACCTCTGGCGACAGTGTTCCCCCCGCGACGGCGGCAGGGAGAATGACCCCAGTCCCCGCCGTGGCAGCACGAGCGGCGGCATCGGCGGCAGCTCCAGCGGCGACGGCGGCGGTGCCCGGCGACACTGTTATCTCCGCGACGGTGGCGGGGAGAACAACCGGAGCGCCCGCGATGGTGGTTGGAGCGTTGGTATCGACGGCGGTTCCAGCGGCGACGGCGGCGGCACCCGACGGTGTTGTTTCTCCCGCTGCGGCGGCGGGGAGAATGGCTCGAGAGCCCGCGCAGGTGGCTACAGTGGCGGCATCGGCGGCTGGAGTGGCGACATCGGTGACGGCACGACCCGCGACCGCGGCGACGGCACCGGCCGCTACGATGGCAACCGTCGGTAACGTTTCCCCCACCATATCGGTTGGGGGGGCGGCCAGCAACGGAGAAGCGGTGGTCAACGGCATCGACGACGGTAGAGATGATGGCGGTTGGTGCGCAGGTGAGGTTGATGACTGCTGGGGTGACAGCGTCTGTGGCGAGAGGGGGGCGTCCACGCACCCTTTCGATCCCGGCACCGTGTGTTCGGGGGTGCGCGGCGCCAACTATCCCGGGGTGGACGACCTGGTCGATGGCTCCAGCAGCAGTAGCGGCAGCAGCATCGGCAGCAGTAGCAACGACGAGGCAGAGGGGATGGATGTGGCCTGGTTTTGGGGCACTGCTGCGCCCCTTCGACCCGAGGAAGCTGTGCCGGCTGAAGGCTAGGAGAGTGGGGCTGGTGATGGGGATGGACACCCCATTCGACCGTGGAAAGATGTCGCGGGGGCAACGGCCGGGGAGCCCGTGTTCGCGACCGGAACAACGACAGGAGGATCATGAAGCGGGGAAGGGAGTTCGGAGGACCGGGCGAGTCCAACAATGACGGCAAGCAGCGCGACTTCTGCTGGGGTCTTAAACTCGCCAAGGCACGTGATGTTTGTTTGCGTATTATTGTCACTTTTCTGAAAATTGTTTTGTGCAGGATGCTGTTCTTGTATTTTGATCTTCAGATACAATTCTGCATTTTTCCTATCGTTGGCACATTTGCAGGTTTGGATTTGTTTTTGTTTTGTTTTGTAGAGATGCCCACCCGCGTTTTACCTTGCAGGAACACTAATTTCCACGGCCAAATGGCAGGGAATCTCCATGGTAGATTATTGTTTTTCTGGGAGGCAAATGGAATGTTGCGGCCGGGGGGCTGTTGTTTGCCAGGAAAATATCTCAAATGGCGGTGGTAGTATAGTTTCTGCGTACGGTTTGTTCCACTTTGGTTTTTCCTTCTTTGTTGGGATAACATTCTCTATGATAGTTACCGCTATGTTTTTCTGATGGTACTGGATATATGTAAGTAGGCGTTGGCTTGGCGTGCGACGTGCTGGGTAAAGACGTTGGGGGGCACGCACCGTTTCTCTGTCCCTCCGATGTACCGTACCCGACGAGTCAATCCTTGCGGAGTAGCAATTTTCCTTCTCAAGTAGGCCTGTACGGCAGACTGGTATGTGCTGGACGTGTGACGCCTTTTCTTTGATATGTTTTGTTTTCTTGTTTCGGTTTGGAGTTGATGAAGTTGGATGCAGAATTGGCATGCTGGATTTTGCGGAATCACGCCTGATTGTTGCACTGCTGTCGGAAATCATGGGGGGGGTAATGTGATACCATGCTGTCCGCTGCAGCACAACAAGCAGTGTTTCTGACATCGGGTGGTAGTTCATGTTGAGATTTTCCGTGTTTTCCCTGGGGATTTTATATGGAATTGATGTTGGCTAATGGGATTTGGGTAGTTCATGTTTGGATCGTTTTCCGCGTTTTACCTGCGGAGGTGACATGGAATTGAATATTGAATGTGATTTTCGTTGCGTTTATATGAGATGTCCCAGCAGGGGGGATGCGAGATTATTGATTGTCTGTTTTGGATTTGTTGGTTTCTTCATGTTTGTTTTGGACTTGTTTGTTTGGTTTCTTCGTGTTTGGGATGGATGGATGTTACAGCAGGGGGGCTGCTGGTGCACTGGTGGTATATTTGTCAAGGTATTGGGTATTGGAGGAAGGATTTGGCATGTTCTCGTAAGTCATGGTTGAAGCCTTTGTGCTTCCGAAGGTTATTTGAGCTGGTCAATGAGTTGAAACATGAATGTTTATCTGAGGAATTTGTTCTGAGTAAGTCAGGACGTTGGACACATTTTCCCGGAGTCACCCGTCCCCGTTCTGACGTGATTCTGATGTAATGTGTATCTTTGCTGGGTATTTTTCCAAGGGTATTTGTTTGTGTTTTGACTTCTTGAGAATTTGGTAAAGCATTTTTCTCAAGAGGGTGAACTGTTTATTGACAGACCTTTTAGGAGATAGTTATTTGATATCATCAGAAGATTTGAAATATTTCGTAGAGCATGTTTTATTGGGAGATCGACAGATTTCGTAGAACATTGTTTTATTGGGAAATTGTTTGAAATGGAATGAATGGTGGATGATTTCCGTTTGGATGCGTAGTTTGATTCATCGCCGTTTTACCTGGCAATGATAATCGTGGCGGGGATTTCGTAGATCGTATCTCGTACCGAGCAGGGGGGCTGTTTGGGGTGCTCGGCAGAGTATACTGTCTACGGGGCCTCCGGGGGGTACGCGGATGAAATGTGTTGATGGGCATGCTGCATGGCGATGGTGTTGCCTACCGCATGTCTCTCACTCTCTAATCAACAAAGGTCTTGAGTCAACCTTCTTTCTCTTTCGGCCTCTGACGGGCTACCGCACCCAAACATGAGGCAACACCCACAACAACAACGATTGCTGCTGCTGTAAACACCGTGCATGCTGTGTCTCCTTGCGACATTTGTTTGCCGGCGGGCACAGGCCACATCGCACTACTCTCACTCATCATCAGATCACGCAATTGTAGAAGCCGATCGCCACGGAACCTTTTGGATTCGCCACCACGTGCGTTTGTTGTGTCGTGAGGTGCTACGCCACAAGGAGCAAGTGCGTGTGCGCAAACGGCGCCGGGCCTCTTTTCACCCTTCACCTGCCGCATGAGGCCCACGGCGTCTCCGTCACGGGGCGCTCGGCCAACCAGCAACTGTTCCTACAAAGACCAAAATGAGCAAGACTGAATTCAACTTTTCTGCGGTCTTTGGGGGCAATTGCATAAAGAAAAAGTCCAAATTCCTGAAGATCCGGCGGTCTTCGGCGCTCGGGGCGACTTGCAACCTATTTTTCAAGTCAAAATATGGTCTCCATCGAACGTTCAAGACTGAAATCGAAACCAGTCCGCAAACACCCTAATGTGAAGACAACAACAACAACAACAACAACAACAACAATAACCCCCAAAACGTTTTTCGGGGGCCTC